ACTTCACCTCGGATTTCAACATTTTTCAGTTGAATCCTTGTTCATGATTAATTAGTATATTCACTTACGCACTAATGTTAATACAACGACAGAAGAAGACCATAATATGTCTCGTATGAAATTAAAAGTTATATTTGTTCTCAACAAAAAATCATAACAAATCATTCAGCTACATAAAAACAAAACATTTAAAAATCTTTAATTTAATTCACAAATCTCTTCTTTCGTCTCAATATTGCATCTAATTCATTTTCAAACAAAACTATAGGTATTTAAGGTTAAGATTTAGTGTTATCATCATGTGTAATAAATGTTTAGAAGTAATAAACAAAAGGATAATACATCTAGGTCTTAATTCCGTCATTGCGTTTTTCAGAAACTACCAATGACAGTTAATTTTGATTCTAAAATCCAAATCCTATATATTCATTTGGGGTCATCAGCGGTGGAGAATAGTTTTAGTTAAGTATGTATACACATTCTACTAGAGAATTTCATCAAATGTTTAACGTAAAGTCTATTAAGAACCAAGATACTAGGAATAAATCGTATGAAAATGATCCTTATAAAATGCTATAACTCTGTCTTTAAAGTAAAGAAATGCAATTTTCTATTATGAATGATTCACACAATATAATAGCTCTTTAAATCATCTTGAGGAACAACAATTATTATTCTGAAAAAACGATTTCTTTACAAATTATCAACAGAATTACTAAAAGTTAGGTTTCCAGGTTTCTCAACATTCATTTATACCTAATCAATACTTCACAGAATAGCTGACTCCGAATAAAAATTGAAATACATATCCAATGCTTTTTCATTTTCAATAAATCTCCAAATAATATCAGTTCTCGATAATGAATATCTTCAATTGATAGAAATTTCTCAATGGAAATTACGTAATACATTAACATTATTTCAATACTAATTTAATTCTTCTGATTATTAAATTATGATATACCATTAAGTAATCAAGTTAGTTTACAGAATAACAATATCAATACAATCGGTAATCTTCTCATGATCTTTCTATTCTTATTATTAACTAAAATAATTTTCTGATCAATAACATGATGAAATCAATTATCATTACTGTTGATTAAAAACTAGATCTTTCATTGTTTTTTAATCTTCTTAATGTATTTTTTTTCAAACAATAGAAATGAAGTACAGAATAATCACAATTGATTGATCACTGGATGATGATCAATGTCATGTGTTGTCAAGTCTTTCTTAGTGCAAATCAAATGCTATCGACCACGTTGCAATGTGGCCACTAGTCTAGATGACTGAACATTGTGTACACCACCAGCTGAATTACAGAATAATTTTGATATAACATGTTGAATAAAATACCATTGAAAGTTAATAATGTTTGTTTTTTTTTCATCAATAACATGGTGCTATTACTGAAATTAACTGAAAGGAACAGAAAAATAAATTTTATCACCTGTCCTTTTTCTTACACGACATTCACTAATAATAATAATAGTAATAATTATATATATATACATCATATAAATACAGCTGCCATTTGGTTATTATAAAAGTTAATTCATTAATGATCGACAGGCTTGACTGAATTTTACACATAGATATATACATATACAACATGCGGGAGTCTATTATTAAAAACAAAATCTACATATATCTATTCATCAATATACTTCTCTTTATTTTATGAAAAATATAATTCTATTGTATGTATGCCAAATAAGATTAACACTTACACGCCATTAGATGAATATCCTATATTTAATGTCTTATGTCTGGCACTTATAAAAGTTTTTTTTTCAAAATGAAATCACATGGGAACAATAGAAAAGAATATGACCTCATTTAAAATGATATCAATAAAATAAATGAATTTATCCATCATCTGTCATCATCATCATCATCGTCGTCATTATCAAGAAAACATCATCATCATCATCATCATCACCTACTAATGTTACAGTTCGTTGAACACGTGCCTTTTTCTTCATTCTTTTTATTCTTCTTATTACTATGATTAACATTGAATAACAAGTTTTTTGAAAGATAAAAGTTATTTTTCTGAATTCATTGGGTTTATATTATAAACAAAATGGTGATGATAAAAACAACAATCAACTATATATTTAAGTAAAATTATAGTAGTATATATATATCAGACACTTATACACCATATAGGTTCTTGTAAGATATTTTAAATAATCATAAAAACTAATTAATCTAATTTACTATTACTATCAAGTTAGTTTTCAATTCGTTTTTAGCCTTTACAGAAATAAACAATGAAATGATTTCTTGATAAAACTGTTGTTCTAAGTAAATATTTCTGAAAAAATATATATATTCTTGTTTGAAATCATAAAGTTGTAATGAAGTGAACTTGAAACTGTTAACTAAGCGATCTTGATATAGAATGATTATTGTGGAAGTTTAAATATCTTCAATTTGCTTATCATATAGAATGATAGAAGTGTATTGATAAGTAATTTGAAAGTGAGAAGCAATAATTGTTCAGTGAATTTAATTCTTTAATAATTCCCTAATTGAAGTTTCTACATAGCGAAAATGTTTTGTAGAATGAAATAAATGAACAAATTGAGAAACGGCAACTAGTTTATTGGAGTATTGATGAATGATAAATGCTTACTGAAAATCTGAAATACATGTATATATTCAAATGCAATTCTGATAAGAGAAATGATGGGAAATATCAACTAAGGTATTTAAAATTATTAAATCAAAAGTTAGAGAGGAAATGTTAACCCTTTAGGTAATATATGGTGACAGTCATATAATTCGAACTCACAGTTTTTGGTTAAACTAGTTAGATAATATGATTTCAAACAAGTAACTTCAAGGCGGCAAAAGTGACTAGATTTTTTGAAGTACATAAGCTTAACTCGTCGATTAGTAACTGTTATACATGTAACTCAGTATTAATTCATTTTTTACGATTAATTGTCACTTTTTGGTGTGAACCAAATTGAAATACTATGTGTTCCATTCAAATTACATTCATCCACTGTTCAATGAATATCTACTCAAGAATCATATTAGATGTCTGAAATTACCGATTAGAAACAATATTTGACGAATTCTGATTCAGATCTTGGTTGATATGATACCAAAATATTTTAAATGAGCTTTCTTAACTAATCGGCATTTCAGAACCACTATTTATTCAGTCTCACATCCTCACGATATCAACACAAAAGCATCTTGATGGAATTTTGTTCTCTGAGCTGGATGGTTCGGTCGACACGACCAAAGAACAAAACTCCATCAAAATCATCCACCTGAGCTACAAATCTTCGCCACCATTACAAAAGCATATGTTTCCTATTCGGTCGGCTTAAAAACAAGACGGTTTACTTACAGAATACATAAAATAATTTCAGGATTTAAAGTTTACCAATAAATCCCTGATTTTCTGTGAAGCCAATTAAAATATGTTACAGTACTCTTTCTGTTCACAACAAACTTTTAGGAAGTGGCAAACATTTACATAGTTAAATGAAAACCATGTTCAGTACAACGTACTTCTCAAAAAAATCATAGTACTGTAATTCGTTGTCGTATGTTTGTGTCCATAAACAGTCGTACTTTTTGGAAAATGTTTTTGAAGTGTCAAAAGACAAGAATTTGCGAGAGTAATATAGCTTTTCATTTCAACGAAGGTTATTAATTTAGTATTAAATAAAATTTATTCCGTCGTTCAAACATACGAACACCAGGCTGTGTTTTGACATCACTGTGCAACTTTGATTTTTAATTGTGTGATTAAACAAAATAACATTAAAAGAACTGTGGTTTAAGTTTATAAATGAAACCCTCCCCCGTTATCAATGAACAATTTTTCAGTCATTCCCTCTTTTCACTCCCCATACCCATGTCCAGGAATAATAATAACTTTGATGATGACATAACCGGTTAATATTGCTTCAGGTTGAATATAAAAGTTAACGAGTCGTGGAGGTATCAACTTTTAATAACAATAAGCACTAGTAATTACGCTGTTACTCGTTTAGATTAAAATTTGAATGTGATTATAGCCCGAGATAATTTGTTTCTCAGCTTATTACACCTTGACATATTTAAGCACAAAAAATTATGCATCTGAACATATTAAGTATATATTTCGATAGCATTTAAATCAATCACATTTTCAAAATATTTATACCCATACACCGGAGATTAATTCTTAAGGCTGGAGAAAAAGAACGCAGTCGTGGTAATGTCAATCAACTGAACAAACGATCCACCAAATACAATAAAAGATGGTCGCGCAATACCATGGATTGGTTGAAGTTAAACATTAACACCATCGATTGTCGGCCGACTCAGTTGTTTAGAGGTTAAGCATTAGCGCACGAGACAGGTCTTGGGTTCAAGCCTAGCGTGAGGGATCGTGGATGCCCACTGCTGAGGAATCTCATACTAGGATGAAACGAACTTCCAATGCTTCCGGGTTTTCAATGGGTGTCTAACATCGATCGATTAGTGATCTCAGTCAATAATCTCCACAACTCTATACTGATTAAAATAAAGTAATAATTCATGTTTATTCATTGAATTCGGGGTCGCTCATCATTCAAAATTGATAAACTCATGTTTACAGTACAGCTGAAGTACTATCGTACAAAGATTACAAAATTCTAGATTTAACATTTTTGTCACATCTAGGAAGATAAGATCGTTTTTTTATCAGCTATGGTAGTCTTAGTTGCATAATGTTATAAAAACAATTTTTTGTTGGACTTCTACTATTGAAGATGTTTCGTGAAAAGCAGTTAAATGTTTAATTAAGCAAATACAATGATGGATAAATTAAGTACAGTACACAATTTCAAAAACCAATTAAACATGATAGTCCATCGAAAATTCAATGAGGTCTCGACAAGATTTTCAAAATTTATAAAATCTAGGCAATATAATTATGGATCATGTAACCATCCCAACCCCTTGTTGTTGTATATTAGATCATACAAGAATAAAATAACTTAAGAAATAATTTATATATTTTTATATCTTAATAATATGTACATATAAATTAACAAGAATGAAAACCAATGTTTACTACTTATAATACTTCATTGTGATCTATTTCAATTTTAGCCCATATTAAACCTTTCCAACGAGGTATCACTTCTGTATCATCAATAATTTCATAATAAATCATATTGGTATTTAATTCATTCGATTCAGTTTTGAAATAAAATCTAAAATTATAAGAAAAATAAATAAACAACAGTAATGTAAACATTAGATAGAAATCATTGTAAATAATACAATGTAAACAAATATGTATTGTCAAATATAATTGTCTCTTTACTGGAGATTATTGATAAACAATATTCAAATGGCACACTCACCATTGTTTTCAGAATAAAGTTTTGGATATGAAAACACTAGAAACTGATAAACCTATCTCATGTAAAAGAGATAATTAAGTGACAACTTTAATTCTCTTAGATTTAAGAATAGTCATTTGCATCAAACTAACCGTAAGAGTAGTAGAAGTAAGTATTTGGATAGACTGATTAGAATCACATGAATCATAAAATATCATGTTTATTTGATCTTTTGTGAAATTGAGGATATCCATCAATCTTACTGATAGTTGTTACGAAGAAATTATGTTGTAAAAAACTACTCTTCAGTAGTTTGTTACCAAAGTGAGTAGCTTCAATTAAATCTATAGTAAAACGCTAATTCACAGATGAAACTAAATAAAAGTGGTACCGGTTTGATAAACACATTAAACTTAAAGTAGTGAGCTATTTAATTCTGATTGAATGACTGTTCATTAGAACAAGGGAGTTTTTGATTGAGTTCTCATATAATGCATTTTAATGATTTAGTTAATCAATTACCGACTTATCCCTTTTAGAGAGATAATAGATTCTAAAGTTTTCTGTTGTTTATTACCTTGAGGTTTCTCAAACTAAAATGTTATCAAGACAAATCAATATTATGCGTATAGGGGTTGTGGAGATTATTAAGTTCTTAATTAAGATTATGAACTGATGAATTGATGTTAAATCACCATTGAAAGCCTTGAAACACTGGATGGTCGTTTCGTCCTATTGTGGAACTCTTTCAGCAGTGCGCATCCATGATCCCGCTCGCGGGATTCGAACCCAGGACCTTCTGTCTCGTGCGCGAACGTCTATCCTACTGGATCACTGAGCCGGCATCCAGTAGTGTTAATGTCTGACCTCAATCAGTTTACAAAATTGCGCGACCATCTTCCATTGTACTGAGGTAGATACTTGTCTCTACCCAATATGGATTAGATCCACTGATCATGGCTTCTCACTAGAACACCGAGAACTCCCTCACAAAGCTAGTTACTAGTGAGCAAATAAATATGGATTTATTATTTATTATCTATCAAATAGCTTGTATAAACAATCAGGTAATCTAGATGTAAGCAACAAACTTTATGTTTAGTTAGAGAAATCTTTGACTTTAAGAATAGCGTTATTTGGTTTTCATGAATATCATGTCTTGAATGGGTTTTTTCTTTGAAAATTTAAATTCTCAATTATATCCATGATTAAAATCTCATATAAACTACATAGATTAGAAAAAATGCTTTATCATACCGTTTCTTCAAATTCTGGAATTCATTATACATTTCATTTTGAAGTTTTTGATTAATGGAATATAGTTTTTGAATAACTTTCTCCTTAAAAAGTTTCAATGTCCATTGAATATTTTCACATAGAATTATGTGTGGTAATGAATCTTCTGATATATAAACTATACTAATTATGAAGTTATTCAACAGAAAATCTTTATCATTAGTAACATCCTGTAATGATATTGAATTTTGAATGAAATGATCATGATATTTTCTGTTATTGTATTCCTCTGATTTATCTAAACAGCTATTATATGAGGGGCACCTATTATAGAACAAAAACAATATTTAAAATAAATCCAATTTTAAAATAAATTTAGTCATTGGATTCGTCAAAATTGATAGATTACCAAGATAACCGATATAGACAAAATGTGAAGTTTGTTCATTATAAAATGAAAGTAATAGCTAAGACTATATAGTACTTTTTTAAGTAATCAAAACATGTACGAATTGTTGTACCCATGGATTAGGCTAATCCTGTTTAATTAAACTCATATAGTGGTTGTTTGAATCTTTCCATTGATGTTTATGACTGCTGTTTATCAGTCTCTTTCGGCATCCTGGATTTCGCTATTAGCCACCATTGAAATAAGGCATTTAAGTCCCTGCTTTTGAAAAGGAATTCAACCTTTGAGAGCTTGAACTGTGAATAGATTCTACCAGTCTATTGTTGAAAACTATCTAAATTTTTTAAAATCTACTATTTTGCTCGGTCATGTATATTTGAGATCACTATCTTTAGTTTGCAAGATGATCATGACCCAGTTAGATTTTATCACTTTTTTTACTATCCTTAATAAGCAGCACATCCGGCGTGATCACTTACCATCATTTCATATCTTAATTTAGTGACGCCATTATTGGATACTATAGTTTCTAGTTAATTTGTGCACACATTAAGGTTTTCATGGTTTACCTTACCACCTATATACCTAACCTTAATTACTATCCAGATTTTTTTAAAAGAAGAACATACATTTTTATTCAAAATTGGCGTTAGAAATGTTAGCTATTTGCTTCATTTTTTTTAGCCACATAAAAAAAATTTTCAGGCCTAATTTAATCTCTCTACTATGTTTTATACAAAAACTTAAGATGATTTAATTTAACTACTTATTATTCAGTTAAAACAACAATTTCATTCATTGTGTGAACATGGGTAGAAAATTAAATATTTGTTTATTTTTATCTGTCAAGGCAACACAAGGCTAAGTCAGTCAATCATATATTTTAAGTCTAACTGTCACTAATATATATAGATATAGATATAAACTTGCATTGAAAAACTGACACCTATATAAATTATTCTGATAATGATTTATTAGTCTATGAAATCTGTCATCCAAATGACAAACACCATTACCATTGTCTAAAAATTTGTTTCAGCAATGTAGTTATTAATCCACACCCAATATAAAACAATAAATAAAGATATTTCCCCATTATTTTCAATATACTTTCACACTGTAAATGTGGTCTTTCAAATATATGAAACAGTAAATGAATGTTATTACAGTTGACTGTTTAATCTGTTAAAATAGGTTTTACAATCCACTTGTATTGAGTTAAAGAACTATTGAGAATTAACAAACCACAGGTAGCTGTTTCAAAATAGATTACACTACAACTTGAAAATTTAATCAAGCAAATGAAATTCTTTCACTATAATTACCAGATAGTAAAACTATATGTTATTACAATGTAAGAATGTTATCAGATAGTTTTTATTTTTTTTAATTCATAGGTTCTGTTATAAAAATCATCAGAATAATTAATCATACCTAGAGTTTCTGATGAAATTAATGCGAGACTATAATTTATGGACTAACCAATTAGATTTAGGATAACAGGTCTTGGATTTTGGTGCGAAATTCACTCAACCATCAAGCTAAACAACGTCTTGGCATTAAAGCTGATTTCAATTCGTAATGTCAAACCATAAATCGAATTCTTAACCTTAACCATCAACTGTGAATCATAATCTTTATTCTTAAAACTGCTTTATAACCTTCATTTAACCCTTTTAAGCAGTTAGACACTTTCAAGGTCACTTTGGTGTCGCTTAAAAGTTATCCATAAATTATAGTCTCACCAAAATGAATCCAAACTATGAGTCTTAAAGTGAACTCATAAATTGTATATTTAAAACAGGTTCACATAGACTAATTTTATAATTTCATTACATAGTCAAATTATGTATATATAATCGAATGGATTCAAATATTCACCATATCAGATTTTCTTTCTCAGTTCATTTATATCTATTTTATGATGACATTTATGTAAGCAACATATTAATCACCACTTCATCTGAGATAAACTGATTCTTTACATCCACTCCAAATGTATAAATTGTAATTCTTAACATTCTACTTATTACTATCGCTAATTCATACTACTTATTTGGATATTTTGATTTATCTAAGTTATTATTCATATGTATCCGTCGAATTTATGAAACCAAATAAAGGATAGGAAAATAAAGTTAACAAAATAATTAATAAAGAATTCTAAATATTAGTAATATCAATAATAATAATAATAAAATTTAGGATGTATATGGTTAGAAAAGAAGGAACAATTTCTCAGAATAAAGGTTATGAGATAATATCAAAGCTCAGAATCTAATCAGAAGATAAATAGTTCGTAAATCTATGCTACTTTAATCGATCACCAACTGTATTATTACTTTATACAAATATTCATCAAGATTGGAACGAATAGTTTGACAATCATTAGGTGCTGAGTATAGATAAGTCAATATATGTGGAAAATATATTTGAAATAATCTCAGCAATTAAAATTTAAAATAATTTCGTCTTGTCCAGTAAACTTTTCTAAACTTCTTCAGGTTAATAATCGAAATCAAAATCATCAAACATCACATCTATACTATGCTTTAATTTGTTTGTTAAAACGTTATATAATTCTTTGATGCTTTTGATTTCGATTATTACCCTGAACAAGTTCAAACATGTTTGCTGAACGAAACGTTGGAATTATTTTAAATTTCAATTGCTAAGACTATTTCTAATATATGTTTCTCACATATAATGTATTATTACTGTTTTTGTCAAGTTAAATTTATCAGAAAGGGTTTTGTGGAGATTTTTCTAGAAATTTCAATAGTTGAAATCATGAGTCAATTGAACCTAGACCACCATGGTAAACCTGGAAGCACTGGAAGAACTAATAGATCCTGGGTTCGAATCTTGAGGAAAGGGGGCGAGATCGTGGATGCACACTGTTGAGAAGTTACATTTAGCTTATGCTTACCATACACATATATATCTGTATAAAAGTAATGCATAATAAAACTAATTTATTCTTAATTATTTCAATAACATATTACTTTGAAAAAAACAATATCCAAGAACCAATATACCGTGTAATATTTATCTACATATGAGATGACAAATTAAAAACAAGAAAAAAGAATCTATCATTTATACCAACTAATATAGTTAACAAAATTTGTCTTATTTTAAAAGTCCACATGAAAAGAAGAAAAAGAAAGAGAAAGAAAGGGAAGAAAATTAATAAATCTCTTAGTTGCAATGTCCAGTTTTAAATATTTAATTAGTTTATTAGTAAATTAATTTGTTCTTCTTTAACAAAATCTCATGAGATTCTATTTTTAAAAAAAACATAAGTTGGATACATTGTATTATAAGTGAATAATAAAAGATATAACTTCGTTTTTTTTCTTTCTTTCTAATAACCCCATATAAAAGACAATCAAGTGAATGTTATTCTAAATAAGTGAAAAATAGTACCCTTAAACAAAAACACAGTTTCCTTTTTTTGTGAATGAGAATGTTACCAAGTTGGTAGGGAAAAAAATGTGAACTTGATATGTTCCTATTTAGTTCTCTGTTCTCTTTTTTTCTTTTTTAATTTATAATTGAATTAGAAATTAGTTTCTAGTCAAATGTGTTTTTTGTTGTTGTTGTTGTTTAATAAATCAAGCAATCATCTATGTGTATCATGCATTTTAATATTGATATAGATTAAATTAAAATGCTTGATAACGATTTTTTTATTTTTTTTTTAAAAAAATAAAGAAAGAAGAAAAACACAATTAAAATTGTAAAAAGTATTGAAGAAAGGGATACTGGAATATTCAAATGTTGGAAGAAAGCGAAGAAAGCGTAGAAGAAGAAGAAGAAGAGGTAGAAGAAGTGATCACTGAACCATATCCATCTTAATATTAATAAGATAATTTTATTGCCTGTATTGATAATTTGGTCAGTTTGTATTCCAAGGATACGCTTGAACTAGTATTCACCTTATATGTTAGTATATATGATTGAATTAATTTTTAATGAATTAACAGAAATTACAGTACTATTCATGGAATCTTGGTTAGTAAGTTATTATTCCTTACACTGCCATGATTATTGTGAATATGAAGTAAATGAAAAATGGTAGTAAAATTTGAGCTATCAACCATTTTGTTCTTATTTAAACATTAATCTTCATTATCTAATTTATAATATTAAACAGTTAATCGGAACTTGATGTAAACGACTAATTTAGGTAGATCAATCAGTTTAGATAAAATGAAAATTGGATTTTTATTGATTTATTTTAAGATTTGTCGATTGGATAAATGTATACCAAAGAATTGTTAATATACAATTAGAAACTAAACTCCGATTAGAGCCTCTTAGAGGCTACTGCCGATTCCAAGCCCGGATAAAGGAGAAGGGTTGGGCATGTTGTTACAGACCACACTCCGTAGAAAACTAATTCGCTAAAAAACGCTAATCAGGAAAAAATAATTTAAACGATTGAAACTCTGCCCTGAGAGTTAGAAGGTTTTTATTTAGAAGAGATCAAAAAGCTCTGGAAGTGGATAGGATACATATTGAGGAAAGCACCCAACTGCATCACAAGGCAAGCACTCACATGAAATCTTCAAGGCCAAAGGAGAAGAGGAAGACTGAGGAACACATTACACTGAGAAATGGAGACAGACAGACATGAGAAGAATGAATAACAATTGGACGGAACTAGAAAGGAAGGCCCAGGACAGAGTGGGTTGTAGAATGCTGGTCAGCGGCCTTTGCTCAATTGGGATTAACAGAAGTAAGTAAGTAATTAAGAACTATACTAAAACAAGTTATTTAGAATACAAAGATTTTGTTTACAGTGGAATCCAGTTTTTATTTTATATACGAGTTGAGCGTTTTAGGTAAAGACTACTAAATTCCAGTTCAAATGTGAACACCAACACTGAGATGCAGGTATATCTAATTGATGAATTCCAAATAAAATAAAATGTTAGTCCTAAATTTTTCTCCTAATCACGATTCATCTATTCTAAATAAAGCGAAATAATGACTATAACGATTCAATTAGAACAGGATGAACATATGCTAAAGAAAGATCGATTAAAATCCATTTCTGAACATCAACAATGGAATAACTCAAGTTCTTGCTAATGATGATAGGTTGAAACGAATTTACGAAGAGCTCAATTTATCAATTAAGCACTAAGCAATGAGAATGAGATAATTATTTTATTGATAGCAAAAAAGAACATGTTCAATTGACTATCTGGATTTGTCTCTTACTTTATATCATTAGATTGCTGAGAAGTATTTATTCACTTGAGTGAGTCTAAATTCACTATTAAAAAATGTATCAATTTAAAATTCTAGACTGATCATGTCTATTCAGAATCTTGATGTATAAGCACTGCATAAAAATGTATATGGAATTCTATAATATTCGACCAATTTCCAGCCACATAACTACTAAAAACCAGAGGGCACTATATGAACGTTTTTTCTCAACTTTAGATTTATTAACAGTAGGAATTAACAGAATTAATTCTAAGACGTCTTCTTGTATTACAGAAGCCGAGAGGAAGTTTTAAACTGTGACCAAATGAACTATTAGTACTTCCTTATTATTATTGATCTAAAAGTGAACTAAACATTCAGATTCGTACCTTAAACTTTTAACGCGATAAAGAAGTTCCTAAAATGAGCTTACTTATTCATTTGGATACTTTTAATTTTGAAACGTAAATAGTATTACTCACATTTATCAGGTATAATAGAGAAATATCATTTAAGGTACATAACAACTTTAGATAGTTTGTGTGTGATTATTATGTTTCGAAAATTTTTTAAAATCTTATTCCGAGAAAAATCGATTTCTCACCTATGTTAAACATTTTCATAGTGTTCACTTTATAATACTATTGTAGTGAACAGAACACCAGTAGGGACAATCAAATGTATATGACACGAAATTACAGAGCACCTCAATAAAATCTGAGAACCATATAGTAAATCGCTAATTTGCAAAATATCAATCCATCATATCAAACTTGACTGGTTCTGTTGCAAACATCAATCCATTGTCTCAGATTTCATTATTCATACGTTTTCATACCAATTGTGTTCTGTTCCCGTTCTTTCCTCATCGACCTTCTACTGAAATACATTCTATGTCTGACCACCATTATATACTATTTGTGTGGATATAAGTAACCCACACTATACTATTATATCATTTCGTTGCTTATCATCATTTCCTTTATCAAAATCAATCAAATTTTTCCATATAATAATTTGTGATTATTTAATATGTTACATGTTACTTAAATATCACAAGTTGATGAAACGTTCAAACTGTCAATCAATATAAATAAATTGAGTTGTTTAAAGTTTACCTTATTGTAGACCCATTACTTAGGGTAAATTGTAGAAATGGTCATTAAAGCATCTGGTTAACAAGTCCAACTATTCAATGACCCATATACTATTTTATAAAATTAAGTCTGTTATATAATTAGGACAATGAGACTTGAAGTGAAGAATACATACTAATTTCGTGAGTTAAACAAAACCTGTGAAGTAAACTTATGTTATTTACCGGTGATTAATTATTCTTTTATTCCAATATTCCTTTCTTCTTCGGTCTATAGATGTATGGAAAGTGATATAATCTGTTATAACTTCATCCGAATACACTGGAGTATATTCCTCCTCAATTGGATTGAATAAATTATCATGATAATCATTTTGTTCAAAGTAATGCTTTTTACATAGATTACATACATAATATTTTTGTTGTAAATTAGTATGATAATTATTATGATCATATGAATAATGAGAAGTAGTGATTTGAAGTTGTTTTGATGAATTAAAATGATTTTTGATTAATGTTTGGTTAGAATTCCATCTATCAATATTCTCTTCATTATGATCAATATATTGAGAATTATCACAATTCCAATAAGATAATTCATCTTTTCCAATTAACTTCATATTGTTTTTGAAATCTTTAAAAAAAAAGAAGGAAGGAAGTATTAAAGTATATTAAAAAGCAGTTACTTCAAATAATCATAGTTTCAAATGACTCATGATTTCAACTATTAAAATGACTAAAATCTCCACAAAACCCCTTCTGATAGTAATCATTAGTGACTGACTTCAAGAGGCATTTCCTGGAGTTCTAGTGAGAAGCAGTGACCAGTAGAGTTCAATCAAGTCTGTTGTGAGATATCAGCTCACTGAAGACAATAGTGTATGGTGGCGCAATTTTGTGGATTGGTCGAATTTAAACATTAACACTGTTAGATTCCGGCTCAGTGGTCTAGCGGTTAGGCGCTCGTGCGCGAGATTAATAGGTCCTGGGTTCCAATCCCACGAGGCAGGGTCGTGGAAGCGCACTGCTGAAGAGGCCCACAATGGGACGAAACGGCCGTCCAGTGCATCTGTGTTTTCTATGGTGGTCTAGCTTTAAATGACTCATGATCTCAATTACTGAAATTACTACAATATCCTAAAAACCCCTTCTGATACTAAATTATATGTTTATTTTCTTAACAAGAAGTAATGAATGAATGATAAAATACTCAGTAAATGATCCCTGCACTACTTCACTATCAAATACTATATATCATCCAGTTAAGTATTAGACTATTTGTCTTTTATAAGTAATGCAATTAATATATAACATATCTCTTTTCGTTCTCCTCCTTATAGTGCTTGTAAACTACTTCATTTTACACAATTAACCAAGAAGTATCTAACATTACAAACAAAATCACTTTTCACTTTTATTATGCATTGGCTTGAGTTAACTTATTGATTTTTCAAGACGAAACAAGACAGTAAATGGATATTTATTGATTGTATATAACATTTCGGCAACACACAGATATGATTCTGAATGTGATTACATCTGTTTGTCAGCCTCAATCATATTCCTAGAAAATGTGAAGTTATTGGTTCAGAATATAATAATGCATATTTTGGCGGGTTTTTGTTTTGTTGTTTTTCATTAATGCTTTCTTCAGATTGTGAGAATTCTTTTCAGTACAAAAGGATGTATTATTGTAGTATATAGTGGTTTTTTGTCAAAGAAGATTTCTATCTACATAACACTTTAGCATTTATAGGGAAAACAAATGGTCAATTAGTTAATTAAGTATTATTGATTCTAATCTATAGAATTAGTTTCCTGAATTTCTTTACACTTACCTTTCAAATTATGATGAATATTATTATTATCTTCATAATAGATATGTTTATTTGTATGACATTTTCTACGAGTTTTATTACATGTTTTGGAATACTTTGGAAATGCAGTTTGTAAATCAATTTGATCTTCTGAAAGCATACATACTTCACGTGTTTTCCATATTCGACTAAAATGATCGTCTAATATTCTTTCTGGATTCTCTTTATATTCATCATAACAATTTATACTTTCTTTAAATAATGAATGAGCCCATGATTTTCCCGAAAATATTGGATGTAACTATCGAATAAATATGACAAATATTTGATTAAAATATAAAACGATACAATTAAAACAAAAACACTTTGTAACTAGGTTGTGTAGTTTAACAGAAATTGTATATAAATTTAAGGAAATTTTCAAATAAAAATAAACATTAATTAACTTTCCACCTAATCATTCAAATATCCTTCGCGCCACTAAACTTGGGCTTAATAGAGTTGATCTACAATATGTTTGTAGTAAAGAAAAGTGCCTTCTGATGTTTGACTATGCTTTTGGATGGAGTTTTGTCCTGTGAACTGGATGGTTTGGTCATGGAGCTTACATCGTTCTTCTGAACGACATTATCAGAACAAACTTCAGGTAGAAGTGAAATGTTTGAATTTTTTCATTTATGGTTCACAGCTTGTCCTATTGATCTCGATGTTGATTGATTCTTGTTGATCTTGAACAAATCTCTATCAAAATCATCCACCTGAGCTACAAATCTTCTCCACCATCTTGACAATCCTTAATCTGACTTTATTTCATGATAAATATTGTTATCCGACTACGTCTTGAAATGCTAAAAGGCTATAGTTCATTAATACTTGGAATATCTTGTATTAGATACTTTGATAGTTTTATTGTTTAAAGTAAAGTTATTTAAGTGATAGACCATAATAAAATCTAATACTAACAATCTTAGTCATCAGTTTCTTTTCTTATCTTTGATGGGAAAAAATTTCTCGTTGATAATCTAAGTCTTACTATTTTCTAATGTGATACAGTTGAGAGACAATTTATCACAAGTAAATGATCAAAAAAACCTGAACCTTCTTAACTTACTATCCGACTTAACGAAAAATTAAAAGTTCAGTATGATTTAAATAATTTAGTATAAGAAATACAGTTGCTAAGACAAAATAAAAAGCAAAGTAATACTGAGTTACATTTTATCGAATTGAGTTGACAACAATTATAAATAAGTATGATTTATCATTAATTAATTTTAAAGCTTTGACAATGGTACCTTTCTTATTAACTAACAGTATGAGGAGTCCCACAATAGGACGAAACGGCCGTCTAGTGCCTCCAGGTTTTCCATGGTGGTCTAACTTCAATTAACTCATGTTGTGAACTGTTGAAATTACTACAATCTCCACAAAACCCATTTTGATAATAATAATCACCTGCTCACTAGTGACTGACTTCAGGAGATACTCCTAGAGTTCTAGTGAGAGGTCGTTACCAGTGGAGTTCAACCAGGTCTGTTGCGAGATAGGAACTCACTGAAGACAATAGTGTACGGTGGCGCAACTTCGTGGATTGGCCGAAGTTATACGTTAATACCGTTGGATGCCGGCCGGCTCAGTGGTCTAGTTGGTTAAGCGCCTAGTGCGAGACTGATAGGTCCTGGGTTCGAATCTCGCGGGGTGCGGGATCGTGGATGCGCACTGCTGAGGAGCCCCATACTAGGACGAAACGGCCGTCCAGTGCCTCCAGGTTTTCCATGGTGGTCTCGCTTCAATTGACTCATGGTTTCAACCAGTGAAATTTCTAAAAATCTCCCATCCTGATAAAAATGAGTTTATTATAAAAGTATCGATATGTAACATATTGAATAAGTGTAGTTAGTTTTCATTGTTTGATAACTTATTATATGTAAGGATTTGATTCTCTTCTAACCACAGTTCAAATTTACTAAAACTCATAGTAATATTAAACAGATCAAAATTATATTAATATATAGAGCTAAGCCTATGAATGAACTAAGAATACTGCAATTAGTAGTTTCTCTGGATTATTACTTATTGATATTATTAGTTAAGCAATAAATTACACAAATAGTGCAGAGATCATAGAATAAATATAGATGAAAACTTTGATTACGGTGTGGTAGACTGAAACTGACAGATCATTTTTCATCTTTTATCAAGTAAAAAGTAAATTCAAGATTAGCTTGAACTACAAGTTATTTTCTTGACACGAAATAAAAGTGTACTTATCATTTTAAAAAAAAGAAGAAAATAACTACCTTAAAATTGACAACTGAATTTTCATCCTTTCTTGATATCATATTTTCTATTTTGGGAGATTTTATTTCAATTTCTTTTCTTTCAACAGTTTTAAATGGTTCCCAAAATGTAGACAATGAAATATCCGATAAAATATCTTCTAATTTAGATATATTCTGATTATTTTGTTGATTGATTTCAGTTTGTCTTTCAGAAATATTTATATTTATTGAATTGTGATGGGATAAAGGAGCAATAAACAATGGATTAGTTGTATTGATCTGACGATCAAGTAATTCTTGTTTAGGTAGTTCTAAGTGTTTAAACAATGAAGATAAATTTTCTGTTGAACTGGATAAAAAAGAAATCAGAAAAACTTTCATGAAATGTTTATTTTGGGGAGGGGGATTTCAAATAGTAACTAATTGATTTTATATATATGAAGTAAAAATCTGAAACTGTTATTCAATAATTACTAGAGGATACAGTAAAACTATTTGATTTTACATTGGAATGCTTTACCTAAATGAAATCATTGATTTTAGATATGATTGTGAGTTGGTTATCAATCACTTACTGAGTTATCTAACGTCCCAAATCTCTCAATACCGTATTGGTTTGTAAATAAACACCATGAATTGTATTCACAGACTATGCTGAAACAAGTTTATGCATTTTGAATTGTTCCATCAGTTTGTGATGGAAATTTATTTCTAAATTACGCATAGTTTTAATGAAAAGCTTCTAAATAAAACAAACGGTTTTTGTTGTTAGTACTGAATATTTTTTGTGGTTTCAGTTGGTTATGTCAAAAGGATTATTATAATTGTTATGGATAAAAAAATTTACATAGAGTAAGTCAGTGCTTCACCGAAATATGCAGTTATTACTTATAAAGATAGGCATGAATACATATTGTTTTAATACAGGGTGAGAGTTTGTTGGGATCGTAGAATTTTCATAGTTTGTATCACAAGATGATCTATGTTGAACCGAAGCTGGAAACCAGAAAGCAATGAACAACTGTCACTTCTTCAGCAGTGACCATCCATGACCACATCTGGGATCGAATTATACACCATTGGTCTAGGTTAGTGAGCCACCATCTAGTGCCTTCTAGTTTTTCAACAAACATTCTTATTCGATAACACCATACTTTCTGTGTTTTATCTAACCTTAGTTTATTTATCTAATTTTTTTTCAACAGCTGACCATTTCAGTCAATCCGTTAGATGCTCGTGGCAATTTATATTTCAATAAACTGTAACATATTAGATAACTGATGTACTAAGTTTTATTATAGGCCAATCATCAGTTATGCTATTGAACTGAAACTTCAAGTGTCATAGTTAAGATAAAGTCAACCAGGTCATCTTAACAAATGCAGAATCTTTATCTATGATATATCGCAGAATGACTACAAACAAACGATAATTATCAGCTGACTTGTACATTTCCAAATTAATTAAATGATTGAGTATAGTCGTCAACTTTATAGATAATCTAAAAAGAAACAGAACACTTCACTTCTATCTGAAGTTTGTGCTGATGATGTCGTTCAGAAGAACGATGAAAGCTCCACGACCAAACCATCCAGCTCAGAGAACAAAACACCACCAAAATCATCCACCTGAGCTACAAATCTTCTCCACCATCTCAGAAACAGTCAATATATACAATCTTCAATTGTTGCTCGTGGTCATTAAGCAGGTATTAATTTAAGATATTTGATCAAGAAGGTCTCTTTATCAAAATCATCATCTTATGTTAAAAGTACCAACCTATTTAGTTATTCACTGGCCAATAACTATTTACTGTAAAAGAAATGATTATTAAAATTCATGCTCAAAATTAAGACTATTTAGTTACAGAAACACTAACTTAGTAGATATGGCGTAAAATAAATGTTGATCTACGTTATTAACTTTAAATGCTCATCCATGTACACTGTTAACTATGTTAGAAGGTCATGAACTATTCAATAATCTTCATTATTTTGAATTTATTTCTTAAATCGATGTCAGTTATGATGAAGACCATATTTGAATGAATAAAACTGTCAAAACTTACTATCTTCAGTTTATCTGTAAATCTTTGTTTTTGTGATCTATTCCATTTAATATATCCTGAATTTTGTTTAAAACAAAGATTATGTATTATATATTAATGAATGAATTTGACTTAAAAAGTCTAGTATATTTGCACGCCATTTTATGCATACGTGTATGTGGGTTTATATATAATTAAATGACTGATTATTCATTCAAGAGTTAATTGACAGGAAATTGTTTCATCGTTAATTCTAATCACAAATCACATAACAACAGGAAATGAAAAATAACACACTGAACAATTGAGAGAAAAAAAAACCCACCATAAAAGGAAGGGAAAGAGAAAGAAAAATAAAACACGTTATGTGGTAGAAGTTCAATGTCATTTATTTTTATTGAAATGAAAAAAAAAAAGCCACACTAGCAACATTTGTAAGTTCACTTCAGGTAGGTAGGTTCATGAGTAAACAATATGAAGGACAACGAAATCATATATATGTATACTGAAGATTTTTATAACTAAACATCAGTTAAAATAAAAATTATTAACTTTAAAGAATAACTAAGTTGTTGACTTTAGTTTGTTTATCAAATTGAAACACTTAATGTAAATGCTATTTGTTTGTATTGTTAGTTAAGTAGTTAATTAGAACTGTATAGAATTATTTATTATTATAACTATCATTCACTATTGAAAAAAACTTTATTGCTTACTCAATTATATTTTTTTTAAAAAAAACGAAAAAACAGGCAAACCTGAAGTTGATTTCACTTCGAGTGATAGTTCTTTCATTTCTTATGTTGGTGAAATGTATGGTATTTCTGTGGTGCGTGCTACTTATATTGATATAAGTAGTATATTATGCAGGTCAGGAATGTAATGTCCGGCAGCAGAAGATGAGGGAAGATCAAGAAAGCAAGAGCGGGAATACAATGCAATTTGTATGAAAAGGCAAGGACAATGAAGTCTGAGGCATTTTGGAACAATTGGTGGACATTTTGCAAATTAACGATTTGTTATATGATTCTCAAATTCTATTGAGATGCTCTGTAATCTTGTGTTAAATACGTTTGATTGTCCCTAACCGTGTTCTTGTCCACTACATTTCTTCATAAAGTTATTTTATCGCTTCTCATTTAACTTCCATATGAAAAAAATCTTTAAAACAATATTGTTAATTTTGTACTTATTCTGACAAGAATTTAGTTTATAACAGAAAAGAAAAATTGGATGGATAGTAAAGAAGGTATTTCAGTTATATGCCAAACTTCTGTTTTTCAATGGTCTGTGACTTATTTTACAAATTTCAACTAGTTACTTTCTTCTTGTACAAATTATTTTTAGCATATTTTACTGGTTAACAAAACGATGAATGGTCATTAAACTCATAAATAATTAGATAAGTCAGATATAAAGATTTATGATATTTAAAACGAATACACAGTTGTTATTATATAGAAGTTAACTATTTAAATGATCTTACAGTTTAGTTCATTAATAAGAGAGGACTTGAAGGACTATTAAAATGAACTTGATAAAAATTTGAACAGTTATAACTAAATAGAAAAAAGTTGGTTTCGAATATGTAATGAAACGATTAAAATCACAAAACATCTGTTGATTTTGTAGTGGCTGCGCTTCGTTGACCAATCACCCTCGTAACCGTTATCATATAATCCTCAACGGTGTTTGAAATCAGAAGGCAAATAGAAGCAGCGACTACAGTTTTATTAGCAGATAACTCAGACCACAAAGCAGATAGGCGAATGAGTGAGTCAGCGAACCGAGAATGTTGAGTGTTATAAGTACATGTATATATATAGGGAAATGAATGGATCATCGAATCATTTAAGCAGTTATTAATAAAGCTAGCAGAATGAATATATGCGTAGGCGGTAAGCAATGTTCAAGCATACATATTTCATGCAAGCACAACAATAATAAAGGTACAATAAGTTGTTATAGTACGGATGACTTTGTCCGCTAAGTGAGTCAACAAAATGGCTTAACTGAGTTAAATGAGAACAAACTCAATTGCACGTGAGTTGCTATGGTTTTACATGTTCAGTGTAATTTCCTACTCTCTGTAGTGGTAATTCCATCTTTACTTCAAAGAAGATTTGACAGAGAAATTTATCTGTAAGATTGTATAGTATATTTTTCTTGGTGGGCTGCTCTGTAATGTCAGAAACAATTCCTTAAAAGATTCTACATGGCTTCCACGTTTTAGGTATAAATTTCTGTAGAAACTAATAGGATTTCAAAAGAAGTTTGATCAATAATAGTGAAATGATTTTATCGTAGACTAGCTGGATGTAGTAAACGCATTATTTTTCTGCTCTTCAATTTTAAAAAAGAGAAAAAAATCACTCCCGACTGATTTCTTACTACTAACAAAATGTCTCTTCAGCCCATATTTATCCGCATTCTTATACATATACTTCCAAGTCTCAATCGCAGATGAGCATCTTGCCTAAAAATCTAACTCTTTATAAATAGGAATCATTAGTATTGTGTCCACTAATTATCACATTAGTTCAGTATGTGCGCCACGTCCACGATTCTTTTATACCAAATGACTCCTTGCTAATCACCTTAACCGAATAACTATTTGTTTTTCTTCCAATGTTTACGGTGTCTCTCATTCAACTGTATGTAGTTCCTGATAACCAATAATTGATTTTAAAAAACCCATTCAAACTGATTATTCTATATTACCCAGAGAAAATTATCCATAATAAATGCACTTTATCAGAAAATATTGCTCAAACTGATTGTTATTAAATAATATTGTTCTGAATATGAACGATTATATTGTTAATTGAAAGATGTGCGACTTTTTCATTGTTGAATTCATGAGTCAATCTAAGCTAGACCACCATTGGAAAATTGAAAAAAACTGGAAGACCGTTTCGTCCTAGTATTGGACTACTTATTGTTATGCATCCACGATACCACACCCAAGAATCGAATCCAGGACCTTCGGTCTTGCACGTCAACGCTTAACCTCTCGACTACTGGGTCGGCATCTAACAGTGTTAATGTCTAACTTCAATCGACACATGATCTTGCGCAACCTCTCATCGATTGTCTGAGGTGCATAACTGTGTCACACCTGACTTGGATTGGACTCCACTGGTCATTATAACAAAAATGTAAGATGTGCCGCTCAGAAAATGATTGAAAGATTTCAGAGAAAAGATTCAATATATTAACTGTCTATAAAAAGGTTATGAAATGATCACTAATACTAATAAGTGTTATGTAATGAGAGTGACAAGTAAAAAGCTTTCATATAT